TCTGACGAACGTCTGGACTTATGACAAACTCTCAAACTCCTAACGAAGACTCGATCTTGACTCCAGCTCATCATCTGCTTAATGTCTTACTGCTATCGTAGTTAATCCTACACATTTTTCTCAACATATAGATTAGATCACACAATTTACCAATTGATTTCATCATCAAAATCTAAGATTCAATAATAGTCCCTCATCCATCTAATATCCCAGAGACTGTATACTGGGCATGGTGCTATTAGACCCATACGGTTTCTACTCGAGTCTCGCTCTAATCGGATTCTCCCGGAGAACTCTTTCTCTCTCAATCCGAATAACCTTGGCCGGGGATTTTTCTGAGCAAGAACACATGAGATAGTCCTCTTATGACACTGAGAGTGAATGATCCTCTATCGACACTCAATAGTCCTCGTAAGGTTGGCTACCACTCCCGATGACCGATTGTGCTAGATCTGGAGCCGCTAGACCTATAAGTCTGGTATCAAAGAATGGAGTACTCATATAGGACATCCTTGGTGTCTCAAGTCTAAGGACCAGATACACCACTAGGACTACAGAATCGTTGTCTGATATTAAGGCATCATCAACCATCCAGCATTTTGTAAGCGAATCAATCAGTGAACTCATTCTCCAATGAGCACTTGTACTGTATCCTTAGTGTCCCCACACAAGCAATTATGAGACTAGCTGCATCCATCATATGGATAGGTATACAGCATACCAGTTTGTCTAGTTATCTCGATGTCTCTCTCGAGTAACCTATGACCGGGATTATTTAGGTTCTGTGTTTAAAAATGAATCTGTCTCATTATCATGATCTCATCACGATCCGATTTCCATTGCACAGATCCAATAACATCACAATATATACATGTGTATATGCAACAATCAATATAAAGTGATAAAATATCAAAATATAAGAAGCAAAAAGACTATGTGTCAAGTCACATGTGTCATTGCCATCACTCACGTGATTGGCTTGCAGGGCACCTTTAACTAGCACTTATGACAACTGGATGTTAACAATGCTTTCTTATAGGGGACTCTAACTGAAGATGTCTTTATGCAGCAACCTCCTGACTTCATTCATCGTTAATATCCAAGACATATCTGTAAACCATAAAAAGCTATTTATGGACTTCGTTAAGCTCCAAGAGCCTAGTACACCGAACTTGGTTAATTTTTAACATCAACTGGCTTCATCAACTCTGAGTTTGATACTTCGTTATTTTTAAGATAACAAAATAGAAGTACAATATATCTACTGGTATATGTGAATGATATTATTATCATAGGCAATAATGCTATGGAGATCATAGAATTCCTTAAGCAATTGGTAGATCGATTCTCCAACAAAGATCTAGGAACCTTAAGCTACTTTTTAGGAGTGGAAGCAACATGCATATCTTCATAACTCTTTTTATCTCAAAGAAAGTACATTCAAGATCTATTATTAAAGATAAACATGAAGAATGCAAAGAGATTGTCATTCCATTCTCTACTACTAAATCACTCAAATTATATGATGGTAACCCTACTACGGATCCTATACAATACCGATAAGTACTTAGATCCTTATAAGTACTTGGCTCCTTATAATACTTATCTCTCACACATCTAAACATCTCATTTGTAGTTAATAAATTATCACAATTCATACATTAGACATCCGCTACGTAATGATGTGCAGTAAAATGAGTCTTGCGATATCTCAAAGGAACACTCAATTATGGATATTTTATCCGTAAATACTTATCACTTCATCTTCATGCCTTTGTCTATGTTAATTGGGTAGGGAACATTGATGATAAAACATCTATGTTATGGTATATTATCTTTCTTGGAGCAAATCTAATCAGTTCGAGTTCAAAGAAACAGAAGACAATCGTAAGGTCTACAATTGAAACTAAATACCAAGTCATCGCCACTATTGGTGCAGAATTGAATTGGGTCACGAATTTGCTGAAGAAACTTGATATCAACTCCACCCTCACTCCTACAATATATCGTGATAATGTCGGAGCCACCTACTTATGCACTAATTCAATGTTCCACTCATGCATGAAATATATTATCATCGAGTTCCACTTTATTCGATATCAAATTGTCAAACATAAGTACATATTTCTCACATACATATGGTTGATCAACTAAAGACTCTCTCATAAAGCCTCTCGCCCGTAAAATATTTTTATTGTATCGATCCAAGCATTAGAAGCTCAATCTTACGGGGATACGATAGAAGATAAGATTTTCACAACTAACTGAGAAAATCTCTTTTAACTAACTGATAAAGAAATCTCTTTTCATAACTAACAGGGGTATAATAAAAAAAATCTTTTCCTCTAATCTGTATAAATAAAACTTAATCAGTCTCTCTCATCACGGGTTAATCTATTAGGTGCCAAGTGTAGCAACCATTCATCAAAAATTGTAGTCCAATGAATTACACCTTTAGATCAAAATGGTCATAAAAAGCTATTCGTTTATGTCAGAGTTAGAAATTGGTTGAAAACAAAAAACAAAAAGCCAGAGCGGGATTGATTGTGCTCGTTTGTTTGTTTGTTTGCTTTTTCTTATGACATTTTTATTCTTCCTTCTTTACTTGACCTATTCTCGAATTAAACAACAAGGATGTAATTTGTTGTATGTTGTTCCTAGCAATTTATTGTGGAAAGGCCTTTTATTTTGTTAATACGTGTACCATTTCCATAAAAAAACACTGCTTGAAGACTATTTTATATTTTCAATTTGGGCATTAGTGATGTTTAATTTGGCAAAACATTCAAACTATAAGATTTAAAATAGCTTCTTAAACCAAAGAAATGCAAGAGATCCAATTATAACCTTTTACACAAGTTTAATGTACAATAACTATTAATCTGCTAATTTGATTTCCCTAATTACACGAGGAAATCTCTTTATTCTGTCGAGGAAAATCCTCCTTGCATTTAAGCTAAAGATTCTTCAATAAAACTTCTTCAATAATTCTTCTTATCTTCTATCTTTTCTATCGTAAAAGGCACATCTTTTCTATAAGTGCAAGTAGATGGTCGATTTATCAACCGAGTTCATTATAATGCCAACATCTTTCCCACAATCATTGGTATAATTTAGAATAGTTGACCGCAAACATGTATGTCTCATGATATGGGTCAATTGTTCAACTTGATACATCAGTTAAATACATATGCAAACTTTATTTCGTACATATATAGTTATATATGATCTCCCTTTCGTCGTCCACCTTATGTCATTGGCAGCTTGTTTGATGATTCTGAAACAATGAAATGGATATTATAGCCCATTGTTCAAACTGATCATGCTAAATATACATCGTGCTATATCTTTCATGTATAAGACAAACATGGATAGATGACTAGATGAGTGTAGTAAGAGAGAGGATTAATTACTCACTTGAGCACATGCTTCCATTGGGGCTGGATATCTTGCAGCAAGATGCAACATAGCAGAACTTAGACGTGTTAATTAAGGTTTTGACGTATTTGGAGTGTAGAAACAAGGAAACACATAACCCGTTTGCTTTTTTCATCGCTAAGCAGCAGCCCTTTGATGGTCTACACCGAGGTCCTTCTTTGACCACGTATTTGGAGCACTCCAAAGCAATACCTACAAAGTGCTTACAGCATGTAGAAGCTTGGGTTGGCATGCCAAGGAGCAGTAGAGCGCCGAAGATCAATAGCAAGAAGCTCAACACCATGCGTCGAGAACTCAGAACAGCCATCTTTTTCTTACCTTGGCACTCAATTTAGAGCGCATATCCTCTATATGAGATTTATAAACAATAAGACTGGCAGGCATCGAATTATGTTCGCCTACTATGTTCATGAGTTTTGTGTGATTGGTTCGCATGTTCCACAAGAGATGTGTGACGACTCTTCTTTCGTCACTTGTTGTCTATTCTTTCAAAGGAGAGGTTTAAAGACGAGCCAAAAAAGATGGCAAGAATCACCGTAAGGTAGAACAAGAATCAGTTATTGTATAGTTTCATGATATCATGAAGAATTAAGAGAGAGAGAGAGAGAGAGAGAGAGAGAGAGAGAGAGAGGGGTGGCACCGACTATGATATTTTTCCTTGTGTCCCATAATCAACTATTCTGTTATTAAGGCTATTCCCAACCATCTTCTCTTGAACTCTTCTATATCAGAAAAACTCTTAAACAGAATCAAATCCACATCTAAGGACCGTCTTGAACTCTAGATACTATTTAAATTACTAATAACAGTAACAAATATTACATCAGTATTGTCAAGAATGTTTATTTTGGAGGCACGGATTAGTGTGTTTTTTTTTGCTTCCGTCAAATCCTCAGTTTCCAATTTCAATTAGGAATGTCTCACGTGCCAAACGATTCATTTAAAGTTACTTCAATGAAGTTAATGTTTTTGGACAATTGTTGTTGATCAAGCAACCTTACTCCACTCCTGAGCCAACTAGGAATAGGCATAGTATATCAGCAAATTCATATCCATCCTTGATCGAGAACTTGAACACAAGTCAAAAAGGGCATTCATTCATACGAGAGCTTCTTCATTTTTGGAATTTGATTAGGCCCTTGGTTTAGATTGCACCTTTTCTCTTAAGTTCCATCATACGTTGTGCATATTCCATTCATTTGTTGATTTTGCATAGAGTTAGTCGGGTGGTGAATGTTGACATCAGATCCTTCCCAACTATTGTTTTTAAATTTAACAGTGATGGAGTACGAGACTGGTGGTGCGCACTCCTTTACCCGTATAAATTTTACTAACAATATCAACTTGGTATCTTGAGGCCAATACTTGGGCCCAGAAGAGAGGTCAAAATAGTTAGTTCCCAACATATTCCACAAGTATAAATAATGATGCACACTCTCTCACCTCCAGAGGCATTAGTTCTAAACTTGAAATCACCCATGAAGGTGAATCTGCTTGATTTGACTATTTTATACTTCTCCTTTTGAGCAATAAACAGTGTTTACTTGAAATAAAAACAGTAATTGAGTAACCCATATATATATATAACTTCAACAATGCATTAAACAAACATATTGACCTATAGCACAATCATAACGAATGGACAACTTCGGAGATGAGTCATCATCGTTCATTACAACACCGGGTTATTGCTATGGATGCTTTTCTATATCTTAAACCTCCTATAGCAATTAGAATGGTCAGAAAAAGGTTGTTGCTGCACCATGCAGCACCGGGTCACTAATATAAAGCCACTGTACACTCATAGTTTGGATTACACTAATGCTTTACAAGAATAGCCCTTTCTTTCTTGTGTTTGCTTCGTGTTCTCTACCTTCTAATCTTCTTATTTTGAACAACTTCGCTGGCATCATGTTCATATAAAACTTTCACAGGAGGATGAAATGTTAGTTACTAATCAAGTTTCAGGTTATCACAGAGATGACCAAGTTCAGGCCTGGCCTCCATCCAAGCCGAAAAGCTTGTTTCAGTTGGAGAAGAGCAATAAAGATAAGACCTGAAGGTGACAAGGAAGAAGTATCGCCTGCAAACGTGCAAAAATTTAGTCACGCAGAGGAATGCCCAAGAATATTGAAGTCATGCGCATGCCAAATTATGGCATCCATAGTTTGTACCATTTAGGCACTAACTTAAACAGGTTTAGTGCATCAAATACCTCAATTATCCATGCACCTAATGCAATCTTAATATTTCAAAGTTTGGATTATTTAATCTTTAACAGCAAAAGTGAAAAGATTCTAGATTCCAGCCAGTGGTTACAGGGAACAAACCTTCAGATGGTATATTAGTTGCTTTAGATTCTGGTTTCAAACAGATACGAGATTATGCAATCTTAATATTTCAAAGTTTGGATTATTTAATGTTTAATTGCAAAGTGAAAAGATTCTAGATTCCAGTGGTTACAGGGAACAAACCTTCAGATGGTATATTAGTTGCTTTAGAGTCTGGTTTAAAACAGATACGAGATTCCTATCATCAGCTATACTGTCATTATTATGATATATGCTAAAATTTGAGTTCTTGAGGTTTGCATACAGTGGGCTCATGGCATACGAAGATACATAAAATGCCCCAAACGAAAGAAACAAAAACAAGAAAGCATATACTATATAGGACAGGTATTTTTCATTATACTTGAAGCTTTCTTATGTATTCCTATATCGTACTTACTAGAAAGCACACCTTCCCATCCCATCCATTTTTTTTATTGCCCAAATTTACTGCTGCCTAACCCTATTTCCCATCTAAATTCTTTCTGTTTATTAAATAGTGAAGATCCTTTATTGCTGAGACAATTAGAAAGCAAATTAAACACAATCCACCTATTCTAGCTTCACTTTTAACTAGTCAACACTGTCGATGGAATAGTGTGTTACTTTTGAGCCTTATTTTAGACACTATACACAAAGTTATATTACTCAAAATATAACCTAATCCATGGCTACAAAAGCAGTGGTAATAGTACTGTTACAATGGTAACTAAAATATTAGGATGCTAGGGTAGCATGGAAAGTTGCTTGTTCCTAGACAATAATGTGCCACTGCCAACACAGCATGTTCCACCTGACAGAATCAACAAGGAATCTGCATAGGTTGAATGTAAATAATATTTAAAATTAATTTACTTAAAAATTAAATTAATATACATTTTTTAATTAGCTTCTTGAAGTTGTAAATTGATTTTTTATTATTTTGTGCTCATTATATTTTTCTTGAGTTTTTCTAGAGATTTTTTATTCGTTAATTTTAAGAAACTTATTCACAAATCCATATTGCACATTATGGCCAATCCACATTATGGTCAATACCATTTCTGGTATCAGAGCAGAAATGGTATCTAGATTCTCACACTTCTCAACTTGATTATTTAAACTTAGCGGAAACCACAAATCCATCAAGAAAAGAACTAGCCCACAATATCTCTGTCATATATGATAGGACTTGTCTATCAAGCCGAGTAAACCTCAGAAATTTCAAACTCTTACTCGAAGAAAACCAAATCCTTGAAAAAAGAATTAAGAACCTTGAATCCGCAGTAAAAACTCTATCCTCTTTACTTATTGAAAACAAACCTCTAACCAAGACTGAGGTACAAAAACTAGTGTTTGAAATATCCAAGCAGCCGAAAGTGATTGAAGAAGAGGCTTTAAGGTTGTCTAAGAACCTTGACCAGAAAATCCAACGGATTGAAATCCTGCTATCCAAAATAGAAAAACAAATTTTTGGATGAACCACATATCTTCACGAAGTACCGAGTCATACAAGGGAGCACTGAAAGCTACCGAATCCATTGAACCCCCATCACTTGGTTTTCTTAAATCAAGTGACCTTCCGGGAGCTCTTAATCACCAGGTAGCAGTCATCAAACAACATAACGTGCAAATCCAACTTCTGGTACAAATTGCAGAGGATATTAAAGGAATACGAACGGAACTACAGACACTAAGGGAACTTCAACAGTCTAAATCTGTGCAATCCCAAGTGGTTCCTGACGAACTCATTACCAAACTTACGAACCTCAGCCTAGGACCTTCAGAGAGGCCTAAGGAAGCAAAAGGAAAAATTCTGGTTTTTAAAGACCCGATAAAAATCTTCCAAGAAACAAGAAGATGACTTCCAGGACACAGACTCAGGAAGTATCTACATCAACTCCCCTTGTGGAGGACCAAATCCGGAGCTATAGAAGAAGTCAACGGAGAATATTCAACGCTGGAAGACGTTTGAGACAACTAATCTCCAGGGATTCAGACTCAAGTACACAAATTCTTGAGCAACAAATAGACCCTCAGGCACAACTGCAACTATCCATGAGGGAGAGGGCAGCGATTGCGCCGGCAT